CAGCAGTTATCAGGAGAACATCCTTTAGAGAATTCCATAAGTAGGATTATGCCCAAAACTGTTTTTATCTCTGGAATTTCTCTAATATGGCATTTTTAGAAGAGAACATTTGGGTTATGACCTAAACATTTACATGAAATTCCAAACATATGCTTACTTGAAAACTTAGTATCTTTTTTTTTATTCTATGTATTGGCTAACAGCATTAACAGTTTTATTAATTATTGTATCTTTTTTATGTGTTAAGAAAAAATGATTGAGTGGAGGAATGGCTCCGTGGTTAAGAGCACTTGTTTTTGCAGAGAAACTGGGTTTAATTCCCAACACCCCCATGAAGGTTCACAACCATCTACAACTCCAGTTCCAGAAGATCTGATGCCACAAAAGAAAAGTCATCAAGATTAATGGAAATAGGCTAGTTGACGCTTTTGGTTGTTGGCGTAACACCTAGGGATATAGTGGAACATGACTCAAAAGGATAGGTATAGAATTGTATTGTTCCAGAGAGACGGAAGGACTCAAATGGCTGCATATAATGGCACATGCCTACAATCCCAACTTGTGAAACTGAGGAAGAGGAGGAGCATAAGATTGAGGTCAGGCAGGACCACATAGTGAGATCCTGCAAAACAGAAATAAAGTTGATGTTATCACTTGAAGTAGCCTAGGTAGCTTTTTTAAAAAAAAATCCATTGTGAACATGAAACTTTTGTAATTACATTATTATCTTTTTAAAAATATTTGTTTGTTTGTTTATTTATTTATTTATTATGTATACAGTCTTCTCAGTATTCTTTCTGCATGTATGCCTTCAAGCCAGAAGAGGGCACTAGACCTCATTACAAATGGCTGAGCACCACCATGTGGTTGCTGAGAATTGAACTCAGGACCTGTGGAAGAGCAGGCAATGTTCTTAACCACTGAGATATCTCTCCAGCCCCCTACATTATTATCCTGAAGTTGTTCCTGTCTAGTCAAATTCAGTGACTTAATGAAAGGAAGGGCCTCATTAATAAAAGGTATCATGAAAAATACGTACTTTAATTGGAAGTCCAAGCATGCCATTAAGGAGATTGGGAATCTATTCAACAGGGCAGGTTTCATGTCATTGTCTCCAAAAGACCACAGTATTGTTTTCTAGCTTTCTCTGGTTTGTTTGAGTTGGATTTTTTTGGGTGGGGGAGGGCAGGTATTTGCTCTTTTTTTTTTTGTTTGTTTGTTTTTTGGTTTTGTTTTGTGTTTGATTTTGAGACAGTTTTCTAATCTCAGGCTATTCTCAGACTTACTGAGCAGCTGAACCTGGACATGAGCCTCTGATCTTTCTGCCTCTATCTCCCACGTGCTAGTGATTACTCCCTCCCTAAGTGCTTCCCTCGCTTTTCAGTGAGCCCTTTGAGTGTGAGTCTAGTCTTCCATATCCCTATCTGTAAAAACTTGTTATAATAGTACCAATCTATTGAAGCTACTTGATAAACAAATAAATGCATGTTGATTTTATATAGAGGAGTCTGATAGCGTACCTTATCAGTATTTGTTGCAAGTTATTTTTAAAATAATACTAATAATTTAAAAAGCTTATTTTAGGGAATAAAATATTAAAGTTGCTGCTACTCTTTTTAGATTATTGAAGAAAGCACAGTTTCTTACATTCTTGAAATGTTTTGTGGTGTGTTTTTTAGTGGAAGCAAAATATTCAACAGATTGAACTGATTGATGGTTGAGTACCTTTTCAGCTGGATGTTAAGTTCTATAAAAATGCAAAACTCAGTTTGGTGCTTGTTCTCCAGGAGGTTTTTACACCAAGATTCAAAACAGGATGTGATGGTCAGGTTTTGGTTCAGACTAAGCAGTTAGGGGTGGTGGGGGTGGAGCTAGAAAGATAGCTCAATAGAAAGTTCTTGGTCTGCAAGCAGGCAGACCTAAGTCCATATTCCCCATCACTCATGTAAAAAGCTGGCTTGTAACCTCAGTGTTGGTTACAAGTGGGGGAGACAGGTGACTCACTGACAGAGATTACAGAAATGAGCATTGCTGTTCTTCCATGGGTGCTGAGGACCCAAACATGGGTCTTCAGACTTGGGGAATGGAGCAAGAGTCAGTCAGCTCTGAATTCTTTAGAGAATTGAAGTCTTATCTGTTACAGTGCTTGTTTCTATAACATAAATTAGCAGTGTAAAAGAAAACAGTGGACTTCTGGTTCAGTGAGAGATTCTGTCTCAAAAAAAAAAAAGTGAGAAATGGTTGAGGATAGCATCAACCTCTGGTCTCAACATGTGCATGCACATGCCCACACGTACATGAGTGTGCCAGGAGCTGGGGCAGGGGACACTTACACTATAGTAAGCGTGTAGAAGTGCTATTCACTGTGCCCTAAAAGCCTGCTAGGTTTGTTTTTTTTTTTTTTTTTTTTTTTACGTGTTTTGAGGGTAGATGAAAAGGAAGACGTATTTTGGCCAAGAGACAGTTCAGAGCCGGGGTAAGTCCCATTGTGTTTTGTATGAACAGGATATGATTCAAGCTAACTAGAGCATAGAAGTCAGTGGAAGCGTTAGACAAGTAAGGCTGGAGTAGACAGTGGTTGACTTAAAGAGGTTAAGAACAGATGATTTTTATTTTAAATTTAATGTAATTTAATTTTGTGTGCGTGTTCATATGTGAGAGCCACCCATACCATGGTACACATGTAACACATGTAGAGGTCAGTGAACAGCTTTGTGTGTCAGTCCTCACCTTCCACTGTTTGAAACAGGGTTTCACTACTGTGAACACCAGGCTAAGTGGCTGTGAACTTCTGAGGGATTCTGTCTCCACTTCCCATCTTCCCATAGGGGTACAGTAATAACCGGCACGGATGCTCATGCTTTTACCTGGGTGCTGAGGATCCAAACTTGGATCATCAGACTGTGGGAAGGCAGCATTTTACCCATTGATCCATCTGGAGCAGAGGTCAGATCTCATTCTTCAGAGAACTGAAGTCTGTCTGTTTCTGTAACACAAATCCGTTATTGATAATCGCAGATTGCTGCCAGTACAGCAGCAAGGTTGTGCTAGTTCAGTTTTCCTAGCATGTTATTATTTTGTAACAATCCTGAACGAACTTTTCTTACAGTTTAATAGAGACCTTTAACAGTATGACAGGTTTTATGGAAAACACTGAGTATCTTGCAGAAGACTCTTCTGCAAATACAATTTCAGGAGTAGTTCGAAGTCCACAGAATTGAACTGGTGAAACTGAGTACTGAGCAGCTGGGAGGACGTTGGCCTTAGAGGAACTTTGTCTTCTGGTTAGTTGAGACGTCCACATCCTCTATGGTCATTGTTCAGCAGTCTTCAAGGGAGTAAATGCCCTCAAGAACTTCCATCACAAAACAGAAAGAAAGACAGGCTTCAAAGAATTGAAGACCATATGCGAGGGGTAAATAAGGATGAATATTTAACTGTTAGGTTTGTTTTGGTGTATTTTTGTCATTTGAGACAGGGTCTCACCCTAAAGCCCATACTGGCTTGGAGTTCCGTTCTTCTCCTGGTTGAGAGCTACTATGCCTAGCTGTGTTAGGAATTGTTATTATAAAGATTATTTTTGTTTTAGGGGTTTTTTGCATGTTGAATAGTCTCTCTTAACTATCTTTCCTAGGAGTGGTGCTATTTTTACTTGTGATTTTGTCATTTGCCCCCTCCCTCAAAAACACTATCACATTCTAGCAGAAAGGTCTCTGGAGCCATTTCAACAAAGAACGCTCTTAAAGTAATTATTGCCCTTAAAATTTTAATGTGAGCATCTTTGTAGGCACCGAGATCGTTGAAATCTATTGACTTTCCAGGTTTTGTGCTGCTTATTTGTTTTTACATTTATTTATTTAGAGTGTGCGTGCTCAAGCACAAAAGCCAGCAGGTGGTTTTCAAGAATAATTTATCTCTTTCCATCATGTGAGATTGAACTTAGGTTTCTATTTTTGGCAGCAAGTACCTTTACTTGCTGAGCCATCTTTCTGCTCCATTAATTTTTTTATTATTCGTTGGCTTATTGACATGTAGAATATTGAACCCAGGTCTGTGCCATCTCTCTGCCATTGGGCTAGCTAAAGCTGTGGCTCTTTATTCACTTAGTTTAGATTGAAACTATTCCTAATTTTAAAGGAAATTTATATTTGAAACTTGTGCCAAATCAAATATTTCATGTTGTATATCAAAACACCTCTAAGTGAACTCTACTATTTCACTGTTATTGGTTAATAAATTGATCTCCCTAAATAGTGCAAAAAAATCCTGACCAAATTTAACTTATAAAGGATTATTAGAATATTTGTGTACATTTATTAACATAGGAAAACAATAACTTCTCCTAAAAACTCATTCTCTACCTAAAATGCCAGTTCTTGTAACTTGAAGCTTGAGTTGGGTATGCGGATGGCCTGGTTTATTTATTACACGAGTCTCAAATGAGCACGAGCTCTTTTCTTAAGACAGACGGCGGTCCTTTAATTTCATTCAGCTGCTAGCTTACTGAAACGTTCAGAATGGAAAGGTCTTCACTGTTCTAGCTGATGAGTACAGCATGTTCTTAGTTTCTATCAATTGAAACAGTGAGTTAAAACTGGACTTAGTTGGTACTTTGCCAGGATAGAAATCCTCTTTTTCTTGTGTTGCTTTGTTTTCTGAAATGGGTTCATGATTACTTACAGGCTGGCTTTGAGTCGGAGATCCTCCTGCCTCAGCATTCTGGGTGATGAAATCCCAGGTGTATGCCAAGAAATAGGTGTTTTAGTCAGTTGTAGTTCATGCTTGTGAAGCTAAGACAGGAGGATCACTTAAAGTCTGAGGACTGCCTGAGGTATAGGATAAGGCGCTATGTTAAAGAAAGCCACTTTTAAAAGGTCTGCTACTTAAATGATTTATCTCTGCAACTTTGTATAGCTTCATAAAATTAGTTTATGAGGTACTACTATGTAGCATTTTGGAGATCTTTCACTTTTAAAATAAAATCACTTTTTTAATTACAGAAAGACCCAAATGGGACCAGTAGTTTGCCAACTGGAAGTTCTCTTCTACAAGAATTTGAAGTGCAGAATGAGGAGGTGGCAGCTTTTTGTCAATCCATTATGAAGTAAGGAATTTTCTTTATAAATTACAGATTCTTTAAATTAAAATGCTCATTTAAAAGATATACTTCATGTCTCAAAAAACAAAACAAACAAAATAAGAGCTGGGCAAGACAGAGGCAGCGTATCTTTGAGTTCTGGGCCAGCCAAGGCTATATAATGAGACCTTGTCTCAAAAAAAAAAAGAACAAAACAAAATCCAAAACTTGCTACTTCATGCCAATCTTAAAATTTTTAACTTTTTTTTTCCTTTGGGTGGCTAAATTTTTAAACAAACAGTTTCTAAGTAAGACCAGGAGTGAGACCGGGAGTGAGCTCTGGTTCTCTATTAACAAGTGAAAATCTGGCTTTCATGTGTGTTTCCACACACCTAGAAGATGCCTTCTTTTGTTTCTAGACAAACTTCCATCTCCTCAAAAAATAAAAATAAATTTATTTATTTATTTGTTTGTTTATTTATTTATGTTTGGAGATACTGTTCGGTTTGTAGTCTAGGCTGGCCTCAAACTCTCAGTCTTCCTGCTTCAGCCTCCTGAGTTCTAGGTTTGCAGGCATACATAACCCTGCCCATTGTCTCACAAACTTATATACCATTCAGAAAGCTATCCCACTTATTTAATAAAAATATGTTTTATAAATATTAGAAAAATTTAGTCCTTAAATATTTTCTCACTCTTGTATGTCTTAGTATTGGTTTTTGCTTTGTTATTGCTGTTTCAGAGATGGGATCTGTAGCCCAGACTGGCCTCAAAGTCCTGGTTAGCTGAAGAGGATCCTGAACTTTTGTTGTTGTTGTTTGAGACAGGGTTTCTCTGTATAATAGTTCTGGTTGTTCTGGAACTCAATTTGTAGACTGGACTGGCCTCAAACTCGTTGAGATCCTTCTGCCTCTCAAGGGCTGGGATTAAAGGTGTGCACCACCACTGCCTGGCTGATCTTGAACTTGTGGTTGCTTCTGCTTTCACCAAGGGCTAGAATTATAGTCATGAGCTACCACTTCCAGTTTTCTGCAGTACTGGGGATAGAACTCAAGGCCTCAAGCATGTTAGGCAGGTTCTCTACCAACTAAGAGTTACATTTTCAGCCCTTATATCATATTCTTTATAGATGGAAAAATTGAGACTCCCAGAAAATACCCTCACAAACTTTTCTCTGCTGTCAGTACAGTGTCACATCATCTTTGCCGCTGGTTAAATGTTTGTTTCCTTTACATGATTGTATCAGTTAGGGCTTGTGTTTCTTCTGTGGGTTCTGGGGATCAAACTCAAGTTGACAGGTTTGTGCATCAAACACTTGCCTGCTAAAGTATCTTGCCATCCCTGTTTTGTTTTGTGAAACAGGAAAGGCCTCACTTTGTAGCCCCTGCAGTGTATTGTGTGTATTGTGTAGGCTATACTGTCCCTGAACTCATGGCAATCCTGCCTCTGCTTCCCTAGTGCTGGAGTAACAGTTATGCGTCAGCATGCCCACCTTGAATTCACCTTTTTTTATTTGAAATATACAAACCTTTTATATATCTTTTATAAACCCAAAGGTGACCTTGGATTTGGATTCTTCTTATTGTACATTTCAAGTTCTAGGATTACAGATTTGCCACCATGAAGACTTATATTCACAATTTCCTGCTCTCTTTAGACCTTCTGTCTTTCCCTTTCCTTTACTTCCTTTTCTTATCACACTCATCCTCCATGTGGTTTAGCTTTATTTTTTCCTATTGTAAATGGGACTTCTGAAGACAGGGCACAGAGTCACTGACTCCATATTCTGATGTTTTTGCTAGCAGAGAGGAAAATGAATCTTAGCCAGTCTGACAGAGAAAAGCTATGCAGAAGGCTGAAGCAGCAAACTTGAAGGCAGAGGACAAAAGTGATCATCACCAGGGATTTATTCTTAATCCAGAGCTGTCTTCAGTATAAAAGGCCTCCTTTTTAAATAAGTCACGGGGACCCCAAGACCATTTCCGAGTATGTTTGCCGTTTTGGTTAATGATTTAGAAGTACTCTTTTCCTTAATGCTTTGGAAATAATGTTATATTTCTTACATAGTTTCTTTTTTCCCCAAACAAGTTTCTGAAACTCCCCCAGTTTAGCTAAGTGATTACAGTAGTCCTTCCTTAGTTATATTTCATAATGCCTCAGTGGAAGTCTGAAACTGAACACTGAGTCCTATGTAAACTCCGCTTTGTAAAACAAGCACATCTGAAAATAATTTGTAGAGGTCTTTCGATGGCTCTGTAGGTAAAGGTGTTTGCCATCAAGCCTGATAACCCAAGTTTGATTCTTGGAATCTACTCCCCATGGCTGTCCTCTGGACTCTGCCTATATGCCCCCTTCCCACATAAATTAATTTGCTTATTATTTTATGTGTCTGAATGTTTTGGCTGCATGTATGTAAGTATACCACATGTATACCTGATGCCAGAAGAGGGCATTCGATCCTCCCAGGATTAGAGTTGTAGACAGTTGCGAGCTGCCATATGAGTGCTGGGAATTGAACCTGAATCCGCAGCAAGTCACTGAGCCAACTCTCCAGCCCCATCAGATTAAATTTTTAAGTTAAAAAAATCGTAATTTATAACAGCAATAATTTACCATAAATCTTAACAGCCTGAGCACATGATTTTTTTTTTCTTCCCTTATTGGGTCAAGATTTTTTTTTTCTTTTTGCTTACTGGAATTATTTTCAGATCACAGTTGACAGGACAGTACTGCAACTGAATAAGGATGCTGCTGTGTTTATTTACATATATGCATATTTATACTCAGAGTGGCTTATTTAATATGTAACTCCAGATGAACCAAATAGAAAATGGGCCCCTTCCCCCCCCNCCCCCCCCCCCCCCCCCCCCCCGGAAACAAGGATTCTCTATAGCTTTGGAGCCTGTCCTGGAACTAGCTCTTGTAGACCAGGCTGGCCTCGAACTCACAGAGATCCACCTGCCTCTGCCTCCCGAGAAAATGAATTCTTAATCTCCGACTTCCAGTGATACATGGTATGATTGCAACAACTTTCAGAGTAGAGGTTTCTGAAGCCATGTTCTAGGAATTTTTCTTTTTGCCCTGAAAATATGGGGGCTCAGTACATATATTCCTCAAGTGGCTGCTTTTCTCCAGCGTAGTCTCCCCACAACCCAGTGGACTTTATTTATTTATTTATTTATTTATTTTGGTTTTTCGAGACAGGGTTTCTCTGTGGCTTTGGAGCCTGTCCTGGAACTAGCTCTGTAGACCAGGTTGGTCTCGAACTCACAGAGATCCACCTTCCTCTGCCTCCCGAATGCTGGGATTAAAGGCTTGCGCCACCATCACCAGGTGCCAGTGGACTTTAAAACACACACACAGACTAAAGTAGTCTCAGCCCTTCTTCCCATGCTGGGAGATGAACCCTGGACCTCACATATGCCAGACGATCCCTATAACACTAAGGCTTTTGACTCTCTTCCCCACTCCCCTTTTGAGATGAAACTGACTTTGTAGCCCAGACTACTGGCCTCATTTATAATATTCTACAATGCCTGACCCTTTGGGGAACTGAACCCAGCATGCACACAGCTGCCACGCTATATGTAGTACCTATTTTATGCTTTTTAAAAGTCTTCTAGAAGTTATTCATGCCATTATTTTGATTCAGCTGTGAAATCAGCATCTGATTATTAGGATTCTGTGTGTGCTTACAGTTGAAATTACTTAGAAGTTTTAACAATTCAGTGCCAATTTTCGGCCTGGGCTTTTGTTATTGTTTTTGTCAGTGAAATTAAAGAATTGAACTAGTGAAGGTCTTTACTATGACCCAGGACTGCCATTCATTATTCGTTATATTTGTTTCTTTGTTTCTTGTTCTTGATAAAACTAATAATTGTGATCTACAGAAAAATTTTTAAAAGAATGTTGTTGTAGTAGGCCTTTTTTTTTTTTTTTTTTTTTTTTTTGACATAATGAAGATTGAACTCGGGGAACTGGGCATGGCATCTAGTGCTGAGCTCCAGCCCAGGTCTATGGTTATTACTGCTTTCTCTAGGTTTCTCTAGCACAAAATGAGAAACTATATTCTATGTCTACCTTTTCTTTGTATGTGATTCAGATCTCATATTTACGGCATATAATAATCTTTTTATTACTAGGAAATGTTGTACAGAAAAATGTTTCATTGCATCAATTTCATACATGCAAATAACATTGAGCATTCTCCCTCTGCCCCGTAGTATCTTAATTCTAAGACATTCCATATGTTTTCAAAGATTGAATTCATCTTTCATTAATAATTATTTCCTTATTAGGCACTGTCTCCTGCAGCCCAGTCTCACCTGGAACTTGCCATAGAACCGAGGATGACATTAAACTGCCATTTAAACTCCATTCTCAGTTCTCAGATTAGTTAACTATATGGTTTACTTTATCTATTTTATGAGTTCTATTTCTTAAGGGGGGGAGACGACAGGATCTCACTATGTAACCATGCTGACATAGTACTCTCTTGGTAGACCAGACTGGCCTCAACTCAGAGAGATCTGCCTACCTCTGCCTCCTGAGTGCTGAGATTAAAGGTCCAGTTTTATTTTATGAATTTTAGCAAACAGTACAATGCCAAGTATGTGTGAAATAATAAAAATAAGCCATTGCAAGCTTACTGTGTTATGAAGGGATAAGCTTGGCAGCAACTAAATATCTTACAGGTTCCAATATCAATTCAACTTGTATCACTTTGATCACATTTCATCTTTTTAAAAAAATATTTGTAAATTTTGTATATATAGTTTATGTGTGGTTATTTATGTACAAATTAGCGTTGTTGTCAGTAAAGGCCAGAGACATTGGATTCTCTGGAACTGGACTTATAGGTAATTGTGAACCATTTGACACATGTGTTAGAAATCAAATGTAGGTTCTTTGCAAGAACAGTATACACTTTAAATCACTGAGCCATCTCTTCTGTTCCATATTTTATTGTTTTAGTATTGGATCACAATGTAGAAACCATTTTGTATATATAGTTTATGTGTGGTTATTTATGTATAAATTAGCATTGTTGTCAGTAAAGGCCAGAGACATTGGATTCTCCGGAGCTGGAGTTATAGGTAATTGTGAACCATCTGACATATGTGTTAGAAATCAAATGTAGGTTCTTTGCAAGAACAGTATACACTTTTAATCACTGAGCCATCTCTTCTGTTCCATATTTTATTGTTTTAGTATTGGATCACAATGTAGAAACCACATTTATTCTTACACTAGTTAATTTTATGACATTTACAGTTATTTGTTATATAGTAGGCACTGTTTTATAAACTTATTTTACATGGTATTATGACAACCCTGAGAAATCAGTGGTCATATTACTTTGAAGCAAGAGAATGTCAGTAACTTAACTGCATTTATGCAGCTAATAAATAATAAAAACAAGGATCAGATTCAAATAGTATGCCTTACAGGTTTTGTATTGGCTGCTGAATTTGCTCATCATCTCAAACTGTTTTATTCTGTATTTATGCCTTGAATAGTTTAATATCCGTAGAAGCACATAGTATTTCCAGCACACGTTCTACTTAAGGCCTCATGAAAAACAGATGATTACTAAATATATGGCTCAGTAATAATAGCCTACGTGCCTAGCATGTATGAGGCCCTGGATTCAATCCCAAGCACTTCAAAAAAGGTGGAAAAAAGAAAAACCGATAAGAAGAGGGGACTGGAACCTTTTGTTAACCTCTAGGAAAAGGCAGTTACTGGGGCCTGTGAAGTTGACTGTATTAAATCTCCCCGTTCTTAAAAATGTTTATTTTATTTATTTGTTCATTGTGTTGTACTTATGTGTGAGTGAGTGAGTGAGTGAGTGAGTGAGAGTTACATATGGGTGGACATGCCATGGCAAGCATGTGAGGACACCTGGCAGGGGTTGGTTCTCTTATTCTACCCTGTTAAGTCCCAGGAATTGACTCAGATTTTCATAATGCAGTCATGTCTGGAGATGAGCCACATACTACACTCATGTATTTATATGTGACTTTGTTGTTCCTATGAATACCTTAACGTGTGACCCCTAACTTTTCTTTCTTTCTCTTTTCCTTTCTTTCTTTTTTTTCCCCGAGACAGGGTTCATCTGTGTAACCCTGCTTTCCTAGAACTCTCAGAGATCTGCCTGCCTCTGCCTTCCAAGTGCTGAGATTAAAGGCATCTGCCACCATGCCCTGCTTGACCCCTTTTAAGGTACCCTTGTAGCACTGTAAAGGTCTTGTAGCTCTATGGAAACCCATTTTCCACTTTTCCTTGTGTTGAAACCACAAACAATGTTTATAGGGAAAAAAGTTCTGCTTAGAAAAAAATACTTTGAAAAGATAGAAACTTTCTATCCCTCTGGTATTTACAATTTTTAGTGACATTGTTAGTGCTATCAACAATTTATTTAAAACAAATCACTTTATTGTATTGTACAGCCTAAGAATCTAAAACTCATTTGATGCCAGCCATCTCTGGAATGCCTAGATCTTGTTGACAGTATTACCAAAGATATTCTGGCACAAGTTAACTTCTTTTTCCTTGGTTCCCCTTCATTTAAAAGGCACATGCTGCTATTTGGAGTTTTAATGGAGTTCATTCATTGCCATTCTCATGAGCTACGCTGGAGTTGGACAAAGATGCAAAAATTGAGTAGCTGAAAGCATGTACAGTCTTGTTCAGGGCTCTCAAATGCAGCTTTAAAAAAGTATTAAATATCTTCTTTCTTGTGAACAGATTGAAGACCAAATTTCCATATACAGATCACTGCACAAATCCAGGCTATTTGTTAAGTCCAGTCACAGTGCAAAGAAGTATGTGTGGAGAACCTGCCAGCGTGAAGGTCTCCATTGAAATTGAAGGATTTCAACTGCCAGTTACTTTTACATGTGATGGTAAGTTTTGCTTTGACTGGGAAGGAAATGTTTCAAATGTCAGTATATCCTTTCTTTTCATAAACCAAATTTGTTTTCATTCGATATCCTTTTAAAACATTTATATTCATTTGGGAAGTTTTCTGGTTAAGTGGACCAGGTCACAGTAGGGCTATTTCTGAGTATAATAAGTTGGTTCTTAACTAAAGCCCAAAAGCATTAACTATAAAAGCTAATTATAATACTTCCTCTGCTTTTATGGCAAGAAAAGTGCTTTCTTACAGAGAGTTGGTTACACGAACCTTCAGATCACTTCCTAATCTCTGCAGGGAAGGTAGTTCTCCTTTGGTGTTAATTTTCCATTCCAAGCTTGGGTAAATATCCTCTCTAGATCTATGTCCTGGATGTCTGTAACAGTTTTCTGTTATGTTTGTTTTTGTTTTTTAAACTACATTGGCTTTCTTTTAATTTATTTATGGTATATATTATTTAAGTAGGATTTGAATGGTGAAGTAAGTTTTTCATCTCTAGTAATTTAGCCTAAGACTGAAGCATTTTTGTTTTTCTTTAGTGGTTGTAACTAGCAATGTGTCCAATATTTAAAGATCTTCTGGTTTTGTACTTTTGGATAGCCCTTTAAAAAATGTAAATTTGAGCCTGGTGCTGACGGCACACACCTTTATTTTGTACACAGTGTTCAGCCTCCATGCCTGCAGGCCAGAAGACCGTGCCAGATCTCATTACAGATGGTTGTGAGCCACCATGTGGTTGCTGGGAATTGAACTCAGGACCTCCGGAAGAGCAGTCAGTGCTCTTAACCTCTGGGCCATCTCTCCAGCCCCAGCACACACCTTTAATCCCAGCACTTGGGAGGCAGAGGCAGACGAATCTCTGTGAGTTCGAGGCCAGCCTGGTCTACAGAGCGAGTATGGGGACAGGCTCCAAAAGCTACAGAGAAATCTTGTCTCGAAAAAGAAACAAACAAACAAACAAATAAAAAAATGTAAATCTGAAACAAAATGTTAGCCAACTATAACAACCATGCTTTATTTTCTAAAGAAAAACTTATTCTTTTTAAGTCATTTTAACTTGGTATACAGCAAGAATATTAAATTTCTAAAGAGTCAACAGGTGCTTTGCAGTAAATCATGAGTAAAAATTGATAGCAAATGTTGATTTCCACCAAGTCTTAACTTACATCAAAGTCTGACTAACTTCAAATTGTACTGTCCATTTCTGTTGGTTAGTCATAAATGCATATTTATTTTGTATGTTTCTATTAAGTGTAACTTGACTGCGGGCATAGGTCAGTGGTACATACTTATCTAGTATGAATAAGGCCCTATGTTTAATCCTTAGAACTGGAAAAATTATAAGCGTTTTATGATAAAAGTATAGACTATATGATCAGATTATATATTTTTATTTGTTTGGGGTCTGTTCAAAAGTAGAATTAATTGTGTTGTAAGATATTTTAGTACATAAAAGCTTTTAATGCCAAGTCACCAGTTTCTGTGTATTTTAAAAGCAGACTTATTTTTTAAAAATTGAACAGGCTGACCAGATGGTGGCTCATGCCTGTGATCACAACATTTAGAGACTGAGGCAGAATTGCTATGATTTCAAGACATGCCTGGATTACAGTGTTAGACTCTGAGAAGAAAAAAAAATAGGTGATTTAAAAAACTTTAATTTGGGTTTGCATAGTGGGCTCAGCAGTTAAGACCCTTTCAGAGGACTCGGTTCAGTTCTCAGCACCCATGTGGCTGCTCACTGTCTAACAGAACTAACAGAGGCTGTGGAGCCTTTGAAATAGGATTTCAACTCCAGTCTCAGGTGATCTTACACTGTCTTCTGACCTCTGCTGGCACAGGCATGCACATGGTACATGTATGTACACGCAGGCAAAACACTCATACATGTAAAAATAAATATACCTAAAAAAAAAATGAAAACCTTCATCTTCTCTTTGTTGTTATATTAGTAGCTCAACTTTGCCAAGAGTAAGATTGCCTACTTATTTGCTCTCTTTTTGTTCTTCATTGGAGAATTCACTATATAAATATCTGAAGTAGTAATTCTCTTTTCCTTGTAATTTGTTTTAAGACACTGCTCTCTAGGTATTGCTGACTACTGCCCTATTTGAAGGCATCTGTAATATGGGTGTGTCTTAGGGTTTCTATTGCTGTGAACTCTTATAAAGGAAAACAGTTAATTGGGGCTGGTTTACAGCTCAGAGTTATAGTCCATTATTGTCATGGCAGGAAGCATGGCAGTGTGTGGGCAGACATAGCGCTGGAGGAGCCAAGAGTTCTACATCTTGATCCCCAAGGAAGCCAGGAAAGACTGTGCACCATACTGGGTGTAGCTTGAGCATATAGTATCTCAAAGCCCACCTCCATAGTGACACACTTCCTCCAACAAGGCCACACCTCCAAATAGTGCCACTCTTGAGGGTTGTGGTGATGCACACCTTTCATCTCGGGCAGATCTCTATAAATTTGAGGCTAGCTTGGTCTACAGAGTGAGTTGAAAAACAAGACAAACAAAAAAAAAGTGTTACTCTCTATGGGCCAAGCATTCAAATACATGAGTCTGTGGGTGCCAGTTCTATTCAGATTACCAGGATGTAACTTTCTTTGTTTAGGCCTTCACTTCTACCAATTAATAGAGGCTGTGGAACCCTTGAAATATGGCTCACCTGTATTATCAAATGCTGTAGATCCAGAATACACACTAAAGTTCAGAGCCTTCGCCTAAAAAAAAAATAATAAAATGTAAGCAAATACTGATAATGCTAGCATCATATATCTACATAGTTTATTAAGATAGGGCCTTGTTATATAATCCAGGCTGGACTAAACTCATGATCCTCCTGCCTCTAAACCAGTGTTCTTGATATATTAGACTAAATAAAATATATTATTAAAATTAGCTTTGCAAGGTTGGAGTTGTGGATTAGTTGGTAGAACGCTTGTCTCGAATCCATGAGATAGGCTTGATCCTCAGCACCACATAAACTAGGCATAACAGTGCATACTTGTGATCATAGCATTTGAGATGGAGAAATAAAAGTATCAGAAGTTCAAGATCGTCTTCTGCTTTATAGTTCTGGGCCAGCTGGGGCTACATCAAAACCACACACACACATATGTCTTTGCCTTACAGCTTATTTCCAAAATTAGCCTCTTTCTCTGGCTGTTTTCAGTGTGGCTAATGGAAAAATTTTAAATGGCTGGGTGTGGTGGTGCACACCTTTAATCCCAGTACTTAGGCAAGAGGCAGAGGTAGATGGATCTCTGTTTTCTTCTTCTTCTCCTCTTCCCCCCTCCTCTTCTCTTCTTCTTGTGTTTTAAATGTATATGAGTGTTTTGTCTATGTGTCTGTTCACCATTTTGCATGCCTAGTGCCCTTGGAGGCCAGAAGAGGGCATCACATCCTTTAAAACTAGAGTTATTGATGGTTGGAAATTGTCATGTGGTGCTGGGAACTGAACCTGAGTTCTTTGGAAGAGCAGCCAGTGCTCTTAACTGCTGAGCCATCTCTCTAGTATCTCTGTGAGTTTGAGGCCAGTGTGGTCTACATAGTTAAGTTCCAGGCCAGCCAGGGCTATATAGTGAGACCCTGTCTCAGAGAGACAGAAAAACGGGGGTGGGGGAGTATGCATTATATTTCTGTTATATGGTCTTCTCTTAGATTATGAGTAATATTGACAGGTAATTGAGCAAAATGAAACTAACTCTCTTTCAGTGAGTTCTGCTGTAGAAATACTTATAATGCAAGCCCTTTGCTGGGTGCACGATGACTTGAATCAAGTGGATGTTGGCAGCTATGTTCTGAAAGTTTGTGGTCAAGAGGAGGTTCTACAGAAGTAAGTTTACTTACTCACTTATGACTACTGAATGGTGTCTTTGGAAATTTCATTCTTAGTGTCTTAAATTAGAATTTTTTCAATTTAAATTTGTAATATAAACATATCTTTGTATATGGCATGGTTTTGCATGCCTTTAATCCCCCACTTGGAGACAGAGGCAGGTGAATCTCTGAGTTCAAGGCCAGCCTGGTCTACATAACAAGTTCCAGGCCAGCCAGAGCTACATAATAAGACCCTGTCCCTAAATTCATTCATTTTTTTAAAATATTTATTTATTTATTATGTGTACAGCATTCCTTCCATGTGTGCCTGCAAGCCAGAAGGTCTCATTATAGATGGCTGTGAGCCACCATGTGGTTGCTGGGAATTGAACTCAGGACCTCTGGAAGAGTAGTCAGTGCTCTTAACCACTGAGCCATCTCTCCAGCCCCATTCATTTATTTTTTATGTATTATATACTTATAAAATATAAGAAATATATTTGGTCCTAACGTGTGTTGAGATATAATAGTGGGATTTCAGAAGTAAGAAAGATATGGTATTCTCTTAAGATTAGTAGCCTTATACACTCACTAAAAGTTGTAGTCAGTTGGTTAAAAGGGAAATAAAATAACCTTCTAAAAAAGTCAGTAATTGCAACATTTATAGATTCTAATCTCCTTTGCAACATGCAGTTGCTATATATACAGAGTCAGCAATTACTGTCTTTTATTTGCCTGAAATAATCATTGCATGAACTTTAGTAATTTACTAAAGCTTACAATTAGTCCAGTTGTTTTCTATCTTCTTTCATCTTCACTGACTCACATAGAAAAATTCCTGTTTAAATGTTCACAGTTGGCTTTAAAACAGTGTGTTTCTCCATTTTCTTCAATTTTTCATACAGATGCAATTTGTACTTTATTTTTATGTCTTTAACTTGTGATTTGAATAGAATAATACTGATGGATAATTATTGTATTTTAACAGTAATCATTGCCTTGGAAGTCATGAACATATTCAAAATTGTCGAAAATGGGACACAGAGATTAAATTACAACTCTTGACCTTCAGTGCAATGTGCCAGAATCTGGCTCGAACAGTAAGTGTGTATGAATTGCATTTAGTGAATCAGAATAGTTCTGATAGTTGAGAGATTTTCAGTCACTTTGTTTTCTGTTTTTTTCTGCACCAGGCTGGGTTGATACATTTCTTGTTTCTAGCAGGAGTCTTCTCAGAAGATCTTTAGTCATGGAAGTTTAGGTAGCACATTCCTCAGATCTAGAAGTATAAATTGGAAAAGCAAAATGAAAGAATGAAAGTTTGTCCTTTTTTTTTTAATGGAAAGAAGATAGTCTCCTGTATCTCCTACTGACTTTAAACTTACTATATGGCTAAGGGTCACCTTCGGCCACCCATGACCAGCTTTATGTAGTGCTGGATACTGAGCTGAAGACTTGGTTATCATCCTGGGACTTGCTACATCCTTAGCCCTTGATTTTCCATTTTTTTTTTTTTAAAGAAAAAGCTAAGTTTACTTAGTTCACTGCAAAAGTGCAACAGCCAAAGGCTGCCTGTCCAAGTCTCATATTTAATAGTCTTACACAAGCATGAAAATTTCAGGGTTAATTAAGAGGGAACAAAGAAGAAAGGGGTATTGAATACTAAATAAGGGTTTTCAGTTTCTCATGAATATGTTTGCATAATGTGGAATGTAGGCGAGACTACTTTTCTCATTGGTGGTGAGCAGAGAAGGAAGGAACAAGACTTACTGAGGAAAAAGAAGCAGAAATTCAAGCGGTCTTGTCCCCATCTAGGCCCACCTAGTTTTTACCCAACCTCTTCCTCCATTGATTATTTGAAATGGGATTTTGCTTCATAGGTCTGGCTTGCCTGAGGTTACTTGCATAGACCATACTGACCTTAAGTTTGTTGCCATGCCTGTGGATTATAGATGTATGCCATATGGCCCAGCTTAGTTTTTCCTTTATTTGATCACCATAAGCTAGATTTAAGAACATTGATCTTTTCTATTTTTTAAGAAATTTATTGCATATATTTATTTTTTGTGTGTTTGTATATGCATGTATGCCACAGTATGTGTGTTTAGGTCAGAAGACAACTTGTGAAACTTGGTTTTTTCTTTATACCATGTTAGTCCCAAGGATGGGATTCAGGTCATTAGGCTTGGGGACAAAGGCCTTTATCCTCTGACCTATATTGTTAGCTCTGTAAAATAGGAGTTTATGGCTGCGTAGAGGATTCCAGAGTTAAGAGCACACTGGTTTGTTCTTCCAGAGGACCTAGGTTTGATTCCTTATACTCTTGTGATAGCCCATGACCATGTGTAACTTCAGTTCTACAGGAACTGACACTCTCTTCTGACCTCTGAGGTCACCAGGCATGCACATGATACACGGACACATGAAGGCAAAACACCACCTATACATACAAAATAAACTTGTAAAAATAGAAGTTTTGGTCAGATTTGATGGTATGCTTCTATACTCCCAGCAAAAAGGCAAGGGTCACGAATTCAAGGCCAGTCTGAGCTACATGAGAACCTCTCTTTAAAATTAAAGAGTGCTGGGGGGCAGGGTGGGGGAAGTTGGCAATAACTCAATGGATAAAGTGCTTGAGGACTTGAGTTGGAGCCCCAGTCCCTGTAAAAAGCTGGATATGACAGAGTGTTTCCATAATCCTAGCACTAGGGAGAAAAACAGACAGATCTCCCAAGCTGGCTGACTAGCCAGTATAGCCATTTTATTAGCTCATAGTCCAGTGAGAGAGCCTGTCCTTTCTCAGAACATAAGCTGGAGAGCAATAGAGGAAGACGAATGACATTGACTTCTGGCCTCTACCCACACCCTAGTACTCACATATGCAAAATAAAATAAGTAATGGAACATTTAAAGATTTATTTATTTCTATTTTTATGTACTTGAATGTTTACTGTATGTATGTGTACCCCATGCATACTTAGTGTCCATGGAAGCCAGAACTGGCTATCACATCCCTTGGAACTGGAATTACAGATGATTGTGAGCTACTATGTGGGTCCTAGGAACCAAATCCAAGTCCTCTGCAACACCAGCAAATACTCTTTATCTCTGAGCCATCTCCCCAGCCCCAAATACTGAAACATTTAAAACAAAATTAATTTTTCATACTATTGACTAACTTTTTAGTCAGTTATAAATAGTAGTTTAGAGATAGCATTATGTCTCCAGTTCTCAAAAATTAGTCTAAAGATTTCATCATCTGTTTAACTATACTTACTTTAATTGAATGACCAAAGAATTATATTTGATTATTCTTAAACATGTGTGTATGTATTTATTTAGGCAGAAGATGATGAAGCACCTGTGGATTTAAACAATTTCTTGAATCAAATAGAAAAACCTTATAAAGAAGTCATGACAAGGTATAGCATTTAAAGCATCCATTGCAGGTTTTCAAACTTTGTTTTGGATGTAAATATATTTATTTTCTGTGATCAAAGCAACTGCTGTGATTAAAAAAAAATACCTGTTTTTCATTTCAGACACCCTGTTGAAGAACTCTTAGATTCCTATCACAACCAAGTGGAACTGGCTCTTCAAACTGAAGTAAGTTTTGGCATAGGGACTTAAAGATTATTTCTGTTTTCTCTGAAATACTAGTTTTAGAATTAGATTATATGTTTTAAAACTATATTCTTGGTGTTAGCCACCCACATGGCAGTGGATGACGGGTAGTGAGAGCTTTAGAGAAAGAGAAAGCCCAAAGCATCGAGTTTAATAGCATACTTAGGCTCTAGTCAGCATATAAAAGAAGCAGTCAAAAGAGAAGACAAAGCAATAGTTAATATCTTTCCAAGTCCTGACCTAGACCAGCAGTCAAACCTGGAGGAGTCAGGCACATAGGAACTGTAGACACAAGTCTGTTGTGCGGAGGGCCTGCTTTTGGTCCCGGCCGCCCTGCTAGCTTTCACCCGAAATAATCACACAGAAATTGTATTAATTAAATTATTGCCTGGCCAATTATATCTAGCCTCTTTTTGGCCAACTCTCACATCCTGATCTAACCCATTTTTACCAATCTGTGTATCACCACAAGGTCGTGGTTTACCGGGAAAGATTCTTACCAGCATCAGTCTCAGACAGGAGCTTCATGGCAGCTGCCACACTGCCTTTCTTCCCAGCATTCTGTTCTGTCTACTTCGCCTATCTAAGTTCTGCCCTATCAAAAGGCCAAAGCAGTTTCTTTATTCAACCAATGAAAGCAACACAAATACAGAAGAACCTCCTATACCAGAAGTGTACATACATGATACATGGAAATAAGCAGTTCTATAATAGTATGTAAGTGTGAAATGAAGTTTAGGAAGGGTACCGGAGAGAGGGCTTATTGGTTAAGAGCACTGGTTGCTTGCTTTTCCATAGGACCTGAATTTGATTCCCAGGACTCACATAGTGGCTCGCTACCATCTGTAATTCCAGTCTCGGGATACCTTGTACCCTTTTCTGGCTTTCTTGGGCACCAAGAATGCAAGTGATACACAGACATACACACAGGCAAAATACCCATATACATATTTAAAAAAAAAAAAAGGTAAGGGTACAGTGTTAGAAATGGCTAGATATAAGTTACTGCTTTGTAGTTCATATTAAGGAGTTTCACTCTATTCTGAGGAGTTAGAGGACCATACTTAGTTTAATTTCTGAGTTTGTAAATGAATTTTTTTACCCACCAAACCTATTTGCTCTTATTGTTTGATGTCATTTTTGTTTCATATTCCAATATTAGAGTCTACTAGGGCTGGAGAGATGGGTCAACAGTTAAGAGCACTGCTTGTTCTTCCAAAGGTCCCGAGTTTAATTCCCAGCAACCACATGTTTGCTCACGACCATCTGTAATAAGATATGATGTCCTCTTGAGGAAGAGTCGTCCTCATCAACTTAGACCATGAAACCCAATATGAACAGGTTCAACAGAACCACCATATATTGACTGCCCACACATGATTCAGCATTACCAGGGCATAAATTTCATTTTTCATTTCAGTTAGAATGTAGACTTTATTTCCTGGAAAGCCTAAACTATTTTAACTTTATAAAATTTATTTTATGTCTGTGAGTGTTTTGCCTACATGTCTGTGTACCATTTACATGCCTGGTGCCCTCAGAAATCAAAAGACATCGGGTCCCCTGGAACTGGAGTTACAGACAGTTATGAGCCCCCACGTGGATTCAGGGAAATAAACTCAGGTACTCTGCAAGAGCAAGTGGTATTAACCATGGAACCATCTCTTTAGCTCCTTATTATTTGATCCATTATAGAAAAAGTTAGCTGATCTTTTACAGAATATTGGATCTAGCTACTTAAGATGTTTTTATCCAAACTCATACTGTGGGATTGTTTAGCCCTGTCTTCTGGAGTTAACTTGAGCATAATGTAGAGGTTAGGTGTAAAAGTGGCAGAATTGATTTCAAAGGGAAGGATTTTTGTAACAATTCAAGTAAAAGATAAGCATTATGACTGCTACAGAGAGAGCTGATTAATAATACTTGGAAGCAAAATTGATAAGCGTTAGCAGGACATGAGAGATGGAAATGTAAAATGAACAGATTGCTAATTACTAGTACATTTTTCCCCGTGTGGGTGTTTTTAGGTATGCACATGTCACAACACACTAAGAGGACAACCTGCAGGAGTTGGTTCTCTCCTACCGTGTATGTTCCTGAGATTGAACTAAAGTCATATGTCAGGATTAGCAGTGAGTTCCTTTAGCTACTGAGTCATCTTGCCAGCTCTACTACTAGTACATTCTGATCACCATATAGAAATACTGAGTACACATCCTGAGACAATATTGGCACACTGAACCCTCTGAAACAGTGAACCCAAATAATTAACCTCCCTTAAGCTGTTTCTGTCAGCTCTTTAGTCACAGTGACAAAGAAAGTAGCTAATTTGGATGTCTGAGATAGCTTTAACTATCCAAAAGAGACACCGAGTGAGTAGTTGATATGAATCTGGAATTTAATGCGAGAGATCCAAGTAGAGATACTATACTTGGGAACTATCAGAGTGTAAACGGTATCTTACAGCTATAAGATTAGTTGATTTACCCCCCCCCCCCAAAATCATTGCAAGAGAAGAGTTATCTCATCAAATAAGACAATGACTGCTTTTGTAGAGGACCTGGGTTCTACTCCCAGCACCCACATGGCAGCTCAAATCCATCTGTAACTCCAATTCCAAGGGATCTGATGGCCTCTTCTGGCATTCTTAGGTACTAGGCACACATGTAGTTCTCAGATATACATACATGCATGCGTGAATGCATACATAGACACACACACATATAATGAGAACCTGTGATCCTGTTGTCAGCCACACCACTTCTCTATTCTCTTTACAACAAAACTGAAAGTATGTGGTTTTGCTGCTTCTCCCTCCTTTTCCTATTCTCTTAGGTACCCATTCCAACTATGCTCCTTTCCAGCACTCCTTAAAAAAAAAAAAAATTTAGTTTCTTCTGTAAATGGACACGAATATGTCTGCAAGTATGCCTGTGGAAGTTAGAATACACTTGAAGCAGTTGCTTTTCTCCTTTTATCATGTGGATTCCAGGAATCAAACTCAGCTTATCAGGTTTGGTGGCAATCACCTTTGCCTGCTAAGCCATCTTGCTGGCCCATTACTAGCACTGAAATGAAGCTGTACTTAAGGTCATCAGACATGGTGCACATAATCCCAATCTAGTAGTACTTTTTTTTTCCTAGTCTTTCTGTAGATTTGTTTACACCTGCTTTTTTTTTTTTTTTTTTTTTTTGTTTTGTTNTTAAACTTTTAATGATGTAAACAAAAATATACCTAAAAGCGAAGCTTCTGGAAAAACCATTTGTTCTTCCCTGTCTTGTATCGTTCCTCAAATTTGACCTTGGCTTCCCGCCTTGCCTTGCGTTTCAGGGCTGGGTCCCTAAAGACATCCTTGTTGACAACAGTTTTGTCCAGGGGGATGTCCACAGAGTACCTTGTGGGCATCAGGTGGTTGTAGTTATAAACCTTCACAAAGGACTTGATCTTGGATCTCTTGGCGACTTTCTTCTTGCCCATGGCAGCCGTCACTTTTCGGGGATAGCGGTCAATTCCAGCCACCAGGGCATGGCTGTAAGGGCGGTCTGAGGTGCCATCATCAATGTTCTTCACGATGACGGCTTTGCGTCCCGAGTAGCGTCCAGCCAGGACGAGCACCACTTTCCCGGGTTTCATGAACTTGCCCATTTCGACAGCGAGCAGCCGGTTCCCAGCAGAAAGGCTGCTTTTTTTTTTTTTTAAGATTTATTTATTTTGGTGAATTTTGTTTTCTTTTGAGACAAAGTCTTGGTGTATGTACCTTGGCTGGACTAGAACTTTCTATATAGACCAGATTAGCCTCAACCTCATAAGAGGTCCACATGCCTCTGCTGCTCAAATGGGATTAAAGGTGTGTTCCACCATGCCTGGCAAAAATTTGTCTATCTTTTTATCTATCTATCTATCTATCTATCTACCTACCTACCTACCTACCTACCTACCTACCTACCTACCTACTTATCTACCTATCTACTTGTTTGTGTGGTGTTTCAAGGCAGGGTCCCTTTGACACTTGTAAACTTGTATGTATGGTACCAAGGGAAGCCAGAAAAGGGTACCAAATATCCTGGAACTGAAGTTACTTACTGTTATGAGCTACCATGTTGTCGCTGGGGAAGGTGTGTCCTTTACAAAAGCAGCAGGTGCTCTTAACGTCTGATCATCTCTCTAGCACTTTAAGTAACTTTTACATACACACACATATACACAAATTGGAAGGGGCTGTGTAGGCATGCCTGTGTGGAAGTTAGAAGACAAGGTGGGTAGTTAGTTCTCTCCTTCCACCATATGGCCTTGTGGGTCCTGGGGACTGTACTCAGATTGTCAGGCTTAACAGCAAGTGCTTTTACCACTGAGCCATCTCTGGGGGTGGGCATGGGGAGAATATGAATGTATGTGTTCATACATGCACAGTACACAAGAGGAGGTCAGAGGTCAAACTGCTATATTTGGTTCCCCCATTCTGCCATGTGAATTTGGGGCATTGTACTTGGATCATTAGGCTTGACTTTAAATACCTTTACCCACTAGGATATCTCAATGGCACAAGACTATACTTTAAGAGAAGTTTTGGATTTGGAGCAAAATGAGAAGATATCCCATATATACATTCCCTGGTACTACCCAGATCTAGCCTCCTCACTTTAAAAGTTACTATTATTATTTTGCCTTAATAAATAGTAACTCTGTTCTCCTGTTTGCTCAGGCTAAAATCTTGGTGTTATCCTTGACCTTTTAAGAAAAAGATCTTTCATCTTCTATATTAAACCTAATTCTTACCATCTCTGTCATGAAAACAAATGGAGAATGTGACCATTATCATTCCTAAGTCAGTTGTGTTATTCTTTACTAGTCTTCCTAATTCTTTGCTTTTCCTTCTGTACCCCCCACCCCCGCGCGCACGCAGGCAACCAAAATGATACTTTAAAAATAATTCACTAAATGATGTATCCTAGGTTGCATCCTGGAACAGAGCAGGAAAGGGAGCTGGTGGAAGCACGGGCACGGCTGAGTAGGTTGGGTTTACTTGATTGTGTGCCGCTGCTCCAGTCTTCGTTGTGTCAAATGGATCATGGTTATGCAAGCTGCTGCTTAACTGGTTTATATGGGAACACTCTGTGCTATTTTTGTAACTTCCTACAATTCTAAAATTATTCCAAATGAAAAGTTTACTTTAAAAGTGAAATAGGAACAGAAAGCAGATGCCAAAAAAAAAAAAAGGCAAAAAAGGACTTTTAGAACCAGGTAGATGTGTAGTAGAACACATCTTTAATCCCAGTACTTAGGAAGCAGAGGCAGGTGGATCTCTGAGTTCAAAGCCAACCTGATCTACATAGTGTGTTCCAGGAGAATGAGATCTTGTCTTCAAAAAAGATAATTAAGAATTATAAACTGGGGCTGGAGGGATGGCTCAGAGGTTAAAAGCACTGACTGCTCTTCCAGAGGTCTTGAGTTAATTCCCAGCAACCACATGGTAGTGAGATCCGGTGCCCTCTTCTGGCCAGCAAGCATATATACAGACAGAACATTGTATACATAATAAATAAATAAATCTTTTTAAAAAAAAAAGGAATTATAAACTGTGCTGGGCGGTGGTGGTGCACGCCTTTAATCCCAGCACTCGGGAGGTAGTGGCAGGCGGATCTCTGTGAGTTCCAGGGCAGCCTGGTCTACAGAGTGAGTTCTAAGACAGTCTCCAAAGCGAGACAGAGAAATCCCGACTCAGAAAAACAAACAATAAACAGTAAAGCAAAGTGAGCTCTTAAACTAGTTTGAAATTACTGTTTAGGCTCAGCTGGCCTTGAACTTGTGAACTTCCCTCCTCAACTTCCTATACCCTAGTATTTCATCGAAAACCTAGCTCTTTGGTGTGCCAAGGTGTGCTCCCCAGCAGGGAGCCTGGGACCTGTACTCTGTAGTGCCCTTCCCTTAGGTATTTGCCTGGCTTTCCCTCCTTTAGTACTTAAATGTGCTTTCCACTGACCTCTTTGTAGCAACTCTTATCACTTATTTCCCTTTAAAGTTTAGTTGAAGTGTTGTTTGTTTGCTTTAAGACAGTCTTCCTATTTAGCCTAGCCTGGCCTCAATTTTTTTGTTTGTTTGTTTGTTTGTTGTTTTTTGAGACAGGGTTTCCACTGTAGTTTAGAGCCTGTCCTGGGAACTAGACCAGGCTGGCCTTGAACTCACTGCCTCTGCCTCCCGAGTGCTGGAATTAAAGGCATGCCACCACCACCCAACCTGGCCTCAAATTTGCTTTATAGCTTAGGCTATGGAATTTAGGATTCTCCGGCCTCAGCCTTCCTACACACTAGGATTATAGGTATATGCCTATAATACATTATACTATACTCACTCACCTTAAGTATAATTTATTTTCTTTTACTCTGCTTTTTCCCTGTGGGAAGGCTGACCTTGAGCTGCTGTGTTGCCTAGGCTGACCTTGAGTTCTTGATCTTCCTGCTCTTAACTCCCTAGTGCTGGCATTATTAGGCATGCACCACCATTCAAAGACTTACCAAATTCACAGAACTCTACTAGCATCACCCCAGTCCGGTTTTAGAGCATTTTCATGAATAATTTGCAGTTGACCCTCCTTCCAGCTCTAGCCTCAAATAATTGCTGAGCCAATTCCTGTCTCTTTCATGATTTCCTCTTCTGCACATTTCTTGTAAAAGAAATATAGTTATTTTTCTGTCTGTTTTACTTTTTTCAAATACTAAACCATTTAATCTTTTGTAGTTTGTACCTTAAAAATATTTATTTACATTGTGTGGTATGTTGTATGATATATATATCAACATATATATGTTGATACATATATATGTGTGTATATATATACAACATATATATATATATACTTAATTTGTGTGTGTGTGTGTGGTTTGAAAGAAAATGGCTCCCAAACAGAGTGGCACTATTTGAAGGTATGGCCTTGTTGGAGTAGGTGTGGCCTTGTGGAAGAAATGTGTCATTGTGTAGGCAGGCTTTGAGATCTCATATATGCTCAAGACATACACAGTATTGGAACTCACTTTCCGTGACCTGTGGATCAAAGATGTAGAATTCTTAGCTTTCTCCAGCACCGTGTCTGCCTGTACACCGCCGTGTCCCAGCATATGATAATGGACTGAACTTCTAACTATAAACCACCCAATTAAATGTTCTCCTTTGTAAGAGTTATCATGGCCATAGTGTTTGTGTATGTCTCTTAGAACTGAAGTTACAGGTGTTTGGGAGCCACCTCACATGGGTGCTGTGAACCACACTGGGACCTCTGCAAGAGCACTTTCTTAATCCCTGAGACATCTATCTCTACAGCCCTACACCCAGCTTTTCACTTGGATGCTAAAGATCCAAACTCAGGTCCTTATGTTTGCTCAACAGACTTTACCAACTTAGCCATCTCCCTCGCCCTACCAGTGGTTCCTTTTTATTGAATACTATTCCATTGAATGGTACAGCACATTTCATCTGTGCATCCAATAATGTATATCTGGGCTTAAGTTAATAAATTGGTTATCATGAATAATGTTGACATAATGAAATATATACATGTATTCCTAGTTTTTGTATGGATTAATGTTTTACTTTCTCTTAGGAAGTTTTACAAAGGGATCAGGAAGTTGCAGAAATTTTTAATTCTCTTGACTTTATTTTTCTAGAAATACTCTGTTTTGCTAAAGTGGCAGTATGGGGTTTGAGAAAAAAAATAATGGCTTATAATACTCTAAGGGAATGCTGGGACTGGAGAGATGACTCAGCAGTTAAGAGTTTATATTGCTCTTATAGAAGACCTAAGTTTGGCTCTCACATTTATATGGAATGGCTCACAACCATCTGTAACTCCAAATCCAAGGAGATCCATGTACTTCAGAAAGCAGCTGAACTCATGTTTGGTGTTGGCAGTATGACTGTTCTGTGTGGACTTAAAATAGAAATTTAGATAAATACCCAGAACAAAAGTATAACATGCTGTGGAGAACTGACCACCTATCTGTACTAATGTTTATCAGTCACTGACCAGTCAAGGCAGTATACTATATTGGATTGTTTTGTTTTTGAGTTGGAGTCTCATTTAGTTCCAGTTGCCTGACCTTGAATTCTTGCTCTTCCATGCCTCCTCCTCCTAAGTATTTAGACTACACACTTGTATGCACATTGTATACACACAATTGAAACCAGGGTGACACATGCTGACACTTGACCAGAACTATATTACTAGCCTCTGTGCTGGCTGCTTGAATAAGAAATATAAGTAATCATTAGTGAATGGGCAAAAGATGGTTTATTCTTTTTAGTAAAAAGATTCTTTTCCTTTAAAAAATAAACTTTAATTATTAAATTATTTATTTTATGTGTACGGATGTTTTGCCTGCTTCGGTGTCTTTTCAGTGTTTGCATGCCTGGTGCCTGGAAAGGCTGGAAGGGGATGTTGGATCCCCTGGGACTGGGGTTATAGACAGTTGTAAGCTGCCATGTGAATACCAGGAATCAAATTCAGGTCCTATAGAAGAGCAGCCAGTGCTCTTAACTGTAGTGCCATCTCTCCATCCCATAAAAGAGGATTCAAAGCAAAAATTGACATCTGATAGGTCATATACCAAATCTAGCCTACTACTGCCTGTTTTCGTAAAGTTTTTGTCTCTTATTTATTGTCTGTCTTCACCCTTAAAAGGCTAGAATTGAATCTCACCAGAGGATGACTCACAAAATATAAAATATTTACTTAACTAATATTTGTTTGTTTGTTTTGTGTGTATGTTTTGATTTTGAGACGATCTCAGTATTGCCACCTCAGACTTTTAAGTCACTATAATTATAGATGTTGTCTTAGTTAGGGTTTTTATTGCTGTAAAGAGACACCATGACCACAACAACTCTTATAAAGTTTAAACATTTATTTGGGGTGGCTTGCTTACAGTTTCATAAGTTCAGTTCATTATCAACATGGTGGGAAGTATGGTGGCGTGTAGGCAGACATGGTGTGGGAAAAATAGCCGAGTCCTACATCTTGCAGGCAACAGGAAATTGACTAATAGTCACACTGAAGGAAACTTGAACATCAGAGACCTCAAATCCTGCCCCCACAGTGACACACTTCCTCCAACAAGGCCACACCTCCTCAAAGGCCACTTTCTTTGGGGGACCTTTTCTTTCAAACCACCACAGATGTGTATGTATTACTATACCTGACAATTAGTGACTTTGAGTGTGGCAGTAGTAGGGGGCAGGGTTTTCCTGTCCTTGCTATATAGGCTGGATGGCCCAGAACTCACTGTATAGACCAGGATGACCTTCCTAAGTACTGGTATTACAAATAGATGCTACCACACCTGGATACTTTGTGGTTTTTTTTAAAGAAAATTTGCTAGTCTTTATTTAAGAAGGGCTCAGAAGTTGCAGATGTGAAAAAGCAATTGCAATGACTAGTCTGTAGAGAAATGAACAGTTTAGGATGTAATGACTTCTCATAAACCTTCTCCCCAGACTGAACTTTAGCATATGGCTACCACAGGAGGATAGAGGCTGCCCATGATAAAGAAATTTCCCAAAGAATTTTAGCCAAAGTGGCTTAAGGGTACAGGTAAGTAAGAGCTGGTCTTTGAGAACCACTGAGCTCTCCTAGTGAATTG